GAAATAATACAGTTCTTATTATTTTGATAAATAACAATTACATATATGATTTTTCCCCAATATTCCTAGAAATAATGATCACATCAATATAATATTTCTTTTCTATCTAATCATTCTGGTTGCCTCATCTTATATAATTACATTTCAATAGCCATCTTGATGCAAGTGGATTGAAGTCCTAAACATCTGAAGGGCATCAGATGGGGAAGGATCTCCTCGGCTATGATCAAGATTACTTTTCCTTTCCATTCTGAATCTGTATCCATCACAGGTTATGCAAATAAAAAAAGAAACATTATGAAGTAGGACATACAAATTTGATTTGTATGGTTTTGGTTTAGTTTCTTCTGTGCTCAGACATTTTGACTTGTTATCTGATTCATGACTTAATATATATAGTAAATTTAGTTAATTCTGGCTTTTTTCAACAAGCCTTGATTAATGGTTTGCTGTGATGTGTGAAGCCAGATAAGTTGTCTTCTGAAAAAAATAGAATGCATGCTAAAAAAGAAGATGTAAATGTCAAAGCACTACTTAAATCATCATTGCTACCTCTTCCTATACATACTAAAGCCAATAAAACTAAGAATATTGAGGGCCTGTAACTTCCTACAGATGTTGACACTGTAGGCCAGGGGTGTCAAACTGCCAGCCCATGGGCCGGTTTCATCATAGCAAAGCTGCACCCACCACATTGCTGGCAATGCAAAAAGAGTCACGACACGTCGCAACATGTCACGTGACATGGCGAGTTTGATACCCGTGCTGTAGGCTTTTAAAATGGATAATACCCCATTATTGTCACACTTTAAAATGGAATTAAACTACTCCTGTGTCCTAAGTTCCAATGGTCTCCTCAAGTCATAAACTTAGTAGTAACTGTGAGAGGGATCTCAGAGTCCTAGTGGACAATCACTTAAATATGAGCCAGCAGTGTGCTGCAGCTGCCAAAAAAGCCAACACAGTGCTGGGCTGCATTAACAGAGGGATAGAATCAAGATCACGTGAAGTATTAATACCACTTTACAATGCCTTGGTAAGGCCATACTTGGAATTCTGCATCCAGTTTTGGTCACCACGATGTAAAAAAGATGCTGAGACTCTAGAAAGAGTACAGAAAAGAGCAACAAAGATGATTAGGGGACTGGAGGCTAAAACATATAAGGAACGGTTGCTGGAATTGGGTATGTCTAGTTTAACGAAGAGAAGGACGAGGGGGGACATGATAGCAGTGTTCCAATATCTCAGGGGCTGCCACAAAGAAGAGGGAGTCAAGCTATTCTCCAAAGCGCCTGAGGCAGGACAAGAAGCAATGGATAGAAACTAATCAAGGAGAGAAGCAACCTAGAACTAAGGAGAAACTTCCTGACAGTTAGAACAATTAACCAGTGGAACAACCTGCCTCCAGAAGCGGTGAATGCTCCACACTGGAAGTTTTTAAGAAGAGACTGGACAGCCATTTTTCCGAAATGGTGCAGGGTTTCCTGCCTGAGCAGGGGGTTGGACTCGATGACCTCCAAGGTCCCTTCCAACTTTTATTATTATTATTATTATTATTATTATTATTATTATTATTATTATTATTATTATTATTATTATTATTATTATTATTATTATTGTCGTCATCGGCATCATCATCATCAGTGAACTCATTTTTTTGCCTTTGCAGGGTGCTCAGGGACTAGGAGATAAGAAATTACCTGAGAAAAAGGAAAGTTAGAAGAATGTGAATTAGAACTAAGAAAAGGTTGAGTCCATCCACTTTACCATTCTATTTGATTTGATTTGATTTGATTCGATTCTATTGATTTCAGTACTATTCATTATTAGCATTTTTGATATGAAAAAGAGAAAGCTCCTCCAGGAATGTGACCATCTACTGGAGGAAAAAGATAATGTTTCCCTCCTTTACACTAAGTATAAACATGATAAAAGAGCAGTGATAGTCTATGGCAGTGAAAAACCAGGACTCTGTTCACAAAACGTTAATTTAAATAAATGTGTTAATTACAACAGATCCTACTAGATGCCTTCTGTTTTTTGATTCCATATACAAAAGGGATATTGGAAGAATTCTCAAGAGAGAAAGTGGACCCAGTGGGTAGACCAGAATAAATATTTCATCTGCCTTTTCACTTAAAATCAAGACAAATGACCAAGTATTTGAACTCCTCTGTCAGCACAGGCTACTTACCAACCTGATTGTTCAGAATTTAACTTGTTTTTCTGCTTTCCCTAACAAAATGTTGCAAGAAGTTCAGATGTACAGATTAAAGTGCTGGATTCCAAACTAATAAAAAGATTTTTTAAAAAGGCAATTTTATTGCACCACAGCAGATAAGACATGACACTGTACTAAACGTGGGCTGGGAATTATCATGTTTGAAAAACAGCATGTGCAATTAGTTGGCTTTACTACAGAATCCATAATGTGCTCTTATAGGGAAATAAGTGCCAAACACGATTTACCAAGACGAAACAAAAATTCAGCAAATATCGTTATATTTTATTAAACTTCAGTTTGNGAAATAATACAGTTCTTATTATTTTGATAAATAACAATTACATATATGATTTTTCCCCAATATTCCTAGAAATAATGATCACATCAATATAATATTTCTTTTCTATCTAATCATTCTGGTTGCCTCATCTTATATAATTACATTTCAATAGCCATCTTGATGCAAGTGGATTGAAGTCCTAAACATCTGAAGGGCATCAAATGGGGAAGGATCTCCTCAGCTATGATCAAGATTACTTTTCCTTTCCATTCTGAATCTGTATCCATCACAGGTTATGCAAATAAAAAAAGAAACATTATGAAGTAGGACATACAAATTTGATTTGTATGGTTTTGGTTTAGTTTCTTCTGTGCTCAGACATTTTGACTTGCTATCTGATTCATGACTTAATATATATAGTAAATTTAGTTAATTCTGGGTTTTTTCGACAAGCCTTGATTAATGGTTTGCTGTGATGTGTGAAGCCAGGTAAGTTGTCTTCTGAAAAAAATAGAATGCATGCTAAAAAAGAAGATGTAAATGTCAAAGCACTACTTAAATCATCATTGCTACCTCTTCCTATACATACTAAAGCCAATAAAACTAAGAATATTGAGGGCCTGTAACTTCCTACAGATGTTGACACTGTAGGCCAGGGGTGTCAAACTGCCAGCCCATGGGCCGGTTTCATCATAGCAAAGCTGCACCCACCCCATTGCTGGCAATGCAAAAAGAGTCACGACACGTCGCGACATGTCACGTGACATGGCGAGTTTGATACCCGTGCTGTAGGCTTTTTAAATGGATAATACCCCATTACTGTCACACTTTAAAATGGAATTAAACTACTCCTGTGTCCTAAGTTCCAATGGTCTCCTCAAGTCATAAACTTAGTAGTAACTGTGAGAGGGATCTCGGAGTCCTAGTGGACAATCACTTAAATATGAGCCAGCAGTGTGCTGCAGCTGCCAAAAAAGCCAACACAGTGCTGGGCTGCATTAACAGAGGGATAGAATCAAAATCACATGAAGTATTAATACCACTTTACAATGCCTTAGTAAGGCCATACTTGGAATACTGCATCCAGTTTTGGTCACCATGATGTAAAAAAGATGCTGAGACTCTAGAAAGAGTACAGAGAAGAGCAACAAAGATGATTGGGGGACTGGAGGCTAAAACATATAAGGAACGGTTGCTGGAATTGGGTATGTCTAGTTTAACGAAGAGAAGGACGAGGGGGGACATGATAGCAGTGTTCCAATATCTCAGGGGCTGCCACAAAGAAGAGGGAGTCAAGCTATTCTCCAAGGCGCCTGAAGGCAGGACAAGAAGCAATGGATGGAAACTAATCAAGGAGAG